TCTCAAACATTATTCCAATAATGAATCCAGATCAAAGAAATATACATTGCCCAGCAACATATTTCTTAAAAAGAACTTCATGTGTTTCATAGACAAGCATGCACACAGAGACTAGCATTGCACTACAGCGCCATCTACAGCTCAAAGGACATATCAGTACATTAGTACAAAATTGAACAGTAGGTCCCAGGTGGTGGGAGCTTGCGCAAGTTTGAGCCTATCCTGTACATGTTTGCCCAAGCACTTACACCCTTCATGTTTTAGAACAGTTCCAACTCTCCGTGTTTGACTTCTCTTAACATCCTGTCCAGTACAAGATCAAAAGGAACAGAGAAGTCTCAATCCAAATGTCCATCTACTAGCTTGGAGAAGGGAGGAAGGAGAAGGGAGCAAGGGAGCAGCATGGCTTGTTGTGTATTTGTGGAGACACACACAGTTTACTAGCACACACAAAGAGTGGCTCCATAGGATCCTGCAAGGGAAAAGAGCCACCCTAAAACAGGATAACAGGGCCAGTGCCCAAGGGACCAGCTGATTCTGCAGGAAGTTAAAACATCAAGAGGTAGCATCCATTGTAGGTGATTTAGTCAGCATTTGAAAAGGTCCAAGACCTTTTGACTTTAATATCACTTTAAATAAACAATTTTCATAGATGTCTGTTTTATATTGCTTTTTCGTTTTTGATGGACTGGGAAAGACTTAGAAATAAACAGGAATCACCAGCACTCAGTGGAAAATATTCACACAATAAAGTTTCCCTGATGAAGGGTCCCTGCGTGGCCACCGAAACGTCGGTTTAATTATTGCAACATGTATTCTAATCATCATAGGCAGCACAGTGGTGTAGTGGTTAGGTTCGAATCCTGGCCAGGTCACTATCTGCAAGGAGTTTGCATGTTCTCCCTGCGTGGGTTTCCTCTGGGTACTCCAGTTTCCTCCCACACTCTAAAGACATGCTGGTAGGTTAATTGGCTCCTCCTCCTCCTAAGTCGGCCCTCTATGTATGTATGTATGTATGTGAGATGGGGACCTTAGATTGTTAGACCCTTGAGGGCAGGGACTGATGTGAATGTGCAACTATGTAAAGTGCTGTGTAAATTGTCAGCACTATATAAATACCTGAAATAGTCTGTCCGATTAAGTGGACTTTATCATTTGAATATTTTCCACTGAGTGCTGGTGATTCCTGTTTATTTGCTGTTTGATGTGCACGGCGCCATCCGTAACTATCACTGCAAGCACCATTATTGTGATTCTGGCCGGAGATGCTGCCAGGAGTGCAGGGGGACATATTGGATTTTAGGATTGTATTGGTGTCCGTGTCCACATTGAGGAGATGTCACTTGATTCCTGTCCCTGTTTCCTTTGGAAGTCTACACAAAGGAGGCTTTTACAGGTAAACAACATGCATAAAGTACATTAAATTGGCATACAATTGTGTGGCAATGCCAGGATAGGGGCAGGGGTACCAAGAGTATCCATTGTGAAATGGGTACTTTTTGTAATAAGAAAACATTAAAATTGGCAGGAACGATGTATTATGCAATAAACATAACTGCAAAGATGATGTAATATTTCTTTACTGGATTTGGTGCTTTTAGAAACGCTGCTGTAGCCAACGCCTTTTCTCTGCTCATCAAAATTATAATGAATCTTACAGGCTGAGACAATCCTCTCCCTACACTTTATAAGGACTACCAGAGACATAAATTGATTAGGCAAATTTGATAAATGCTTTATCTAAAAATAAAAATATTCAACAATTGTGCAACTGCGTTTATCTACTCATTCAAAGCACCTTTAGGGCTCATTCACACAGGCAGTCGGTTAGAATGTGTGATTCTTGTTGGAGGAGAAACTAGCCCCATCCACATCTTGAATGCAAATGGTGCGGTCATCAGTCGAACGGGCTAATTCATTCAATGTACAAATAAATGTTTGGTGCCACTGCTGTTTGCATGTAACCGCTCATGCCAGCTTTTACATGCAAACAGGGCTTCTGACCAGCACTGGCCGCAAACTGTTTTGTGTCCAGGGCCGCTGATTCTGGCCATACACCATTATGCAGTTTGTATGCAGCTAACAGAGTGTTGTTGCATCCAGATGCAGAGTTTAGCCACATCTGATTGTTGCAGTACAGCTGCTCATATGAATGAGCCTTTATTGTTAAAAAAAAATCACTTACAAGTCTCAAAGTGCCTTGTCCAGCCAAACTAATGGGAAACACCAATTTTTTATATCAAAAATATTTTACTAATACAAATTGCTCTTATTATAGTAGAGGTCATGTTCCATCCAGTTACTCATGAATGGCATACACTGAAAAAGCAGTATGATCCAATTCATATTTGTGGCAAACGTTCATCACATGGGAACATGCTTCTACTCATTGGTTTAAATGACCTTTTCATAGCAACAATAGATCTACTGAGGACCAATCCAGCCATCCTTAGTGTGATATTCCCTTATTTGTAACCCACTGGACATCATGACCGTATTTGTTTACTGACGTCACCCAGAATCCCCGGCCGGTTTGTTTACATACAGAAGCCGGCTGGGAATCTGTGATTTTGCAGCAATGGTGTGGTGGAGCTACATTGTCAGGGGACCCCTATGCCTGAATTATGTGCGTTATGCATTAAAGAGCCCTAGTGCATCATGCACCTCTGCGCCCTATGCCTAGGGTGATATGAACCCCTGCACACTGGGCGATAATCACTCCTGAGTCCTGCACCCTGTGCGATATGCCACTCTGTTTAATACACATTTCTGAGCTCTGCAGTCTGTGTGATCTGCATTCTGGGCGTTACACATTCCTGAGCCCAGCACCCTGTGTGATATGAACTCCTAAGCCCTACTCTCTGTGTAATATGCACTTCTGAGCTCTGAATATTGTGCATTACGTACTCCCAAGTCCTTCACCCTGTGTTATTTGAACTCCTGAGCCACGCACATTGTGTTATATGCATTTATGAGCTCTTCATTCTATGTGTTACACACTCCTAAACCCAGCATCCTGTGAGGTACATTTCTAAGCACTTAACCCAGTGTGTTACTCTCTCCTGAACTCTGCCCTCTGTGGTTACACACTACCAAGTCTTGCACCCTGTGTGATATGTAACTCCTGAGTCTTGCACCCTGTGTGATGCACATTTCTGAGCTCTGCATTATATGCATTACACCCTCCACAGCCCAGCATCCTGTACAGTACACACTTCTGAGCCCTGCACCCAGTACATTATACACTCCTGACCCCAGCACCCTGTGTGTTATGTACTCCTGAACCCAGCACCCTGTGTGTTATGCACTCTTGAACCCTGCACCCTGTGCATTATACATTCCGAAACCCTGCACCATGTGCATTATGCATTCCTGAACCCAGCACCGTTGTGCATTATGCACTCCTGAACCCTCCACCATGTGTATTATGCACTGCTGAACCCTGCCCCCTGTGCATTATATACTCCTGAACCCTACATCATCTGCATTACAGGTGAATCTCGAATAATTAGAATATCGTGCAAAAGTTCATTTATTTCACTAATGCAACTTAAAAGGTGAAACTAATATATGAGATAGACTCATTACATGCAAAGCAAGATAATTCAAGCCGTGATTTGTCATAATTGTGATGATTATGGCTTACAGCTCATGAAAACCCCAAATCCACAAACTCAAAAAAGTAGATTATTACATGCAATCAATAAAACAAGGATTGTACATAGAACAATATCGGACCTCTGAAATGTACAAGCATGCATATGTACTCAGTACTTGGTTTGGGCCCCTTTTGCAGCAATTACTGCAATTACTTTTGCACGATATTCTAATTATTCGAGTTTCACCTGTGTATATACTCCTGAACCCTGCACCCTGTGCATTATATTCTCCTGAGCCCAGCACCATGTGCATTATGTACTCCTGAGCCCAGCAGACAATGCATTGCGTCCTCCCGAGCCATCAGCATAAACACTTTGGCTGTACATTTCATACTCCTGCCCTCATTATGCCATATTTTACATTAAATACTTCTGACCAAAGTGATAAAAAAGTAGGCTAAAACACATATGTAACTAAAGAGTTTCATCTTTAACCCATAAAACTGACAACATCTAGTGGCAGAGAGGACGTACTGCAGTGGACAGCTGTTCAACTACCTCCATGTATGATAGCCAGAGCATGGCATATTCGGTCCATTGGCTGCATGTCACGGGCACGCAAGCTCATGGCCTTTTGGCATGCGTGAGTTAGTGCTCTTCAGCGTGCATTGGAGTGCATCCTTGACTCTGGGCATGTTTACTGGCTTGGAATACCTTTCTTTCTTTGTTTTTGTACCAGTTATCCTGTTGGTTTAGATTGCTGTTGTTCTGATTACCTGCTGCTGACCCAGATCACCTAAATCAGTTCCTGTCTCCAGCCCCTGGTGCTGACTCAATTTGCTTTTTCCTGTTAACCTGCTGCCAGCAGTCTCTAACTACTCTCCAGCTTGCCACCTTCTTTGACCTCCACCTGAACACCAACCGTGCAATCCCATACCATCTTGTCTCTTCATTGTACCCACCCCCTACATGGTGTGGTGTCAACTTGCACCAAAGTAGTCAGGGGGCCACAGGGGTCACTGGCCCATCACTCTGGTGAGGACTCCACTCCTTGGAGGAGCCCACGTCACCTGCCAGGGGTGTCACTTGCAGCACCTTCATTGGATTAATGTGAGAATTGAGGCAAAAATCTGCCTTTTTCTTTTAATAAGTTCTTTATTTCTGTTCATATATTTTTACTTAGAGTTTTGTTTTAAAGTTTTCGTATTTGGAAGCCAATTTTTTTTCTTGAGTTTCTTTTGCCAGGAACACTTGTACATAATATTTATTACAGATTTTTTCTTTCTTTTTTTTTTTCTTGCCTTGTTTGATTTTGGCAGATGCTTCATTAGGCTCTGGTTTCCGGGTAGCTGGGACGTTGTGAAATCTTCAACCAAAATAAATAGACAGGATCAAGGATCAGCCAAGGCTGGTATTAAAACACACAGCAGCAGCTTGTCTTTGAATACATTTCCCAGAGGCGTCTTCAGATCTTATTAAAGAGCATCTTTCAGTTGCAGGTAAATATCATCTACTCAGAATCTTCCTCAAAGACTTTGAGAGGCAAAAAGTTCTCAACCAGGAGCAGGAAGTGCAGAGAGTTAATTTTTTGTATTACTCTATTCTTTTTTGTTTTTATTCTTTCATCACTTTCATCTTTCATCAGAATGTAATTTCTGTAATGTGAAATCTTTAGCCAAAATACAATTCAATGCGATCAGGGTTCAGTGGAGACATAGACCCCGCGTGCACAGCCGAGGGACCTTTCTGAATATATCCTCTTGGGCTTTGTATCTTTTATGAAACACATCTGTCACTTTCGTGGTAAGTAAAGTGAGTTTATTTTGTATTCAATACTTTGTATTCACTTTCAATAAGTAAATAATGTGAGCTATCATTGATATGTTTAGAGTTATTTAGAATGTGGTTCTTCCATACATGCTTGCTGTACTATAATTGGGTTATTTGTATGTATACAGGATGGACGATATTTTTTTTTCCTCTTGTGGGTATTTGGGCTTTCACTGAAATCCTGTCAATTATCAACTGTTGACTAAAATATACTCTCAGGCACTAGGAGTGATTATATGTTTAATCAGTAGAACCAGTTACATTCGCAAACAGTAAGACCCAGCCATTGTGCAGCACTGCTAAGTTGGAAGCAAACCCAGGATGTCAGTGCATTACATATTAGCTTTAAGTATAATTGTTATTTGGTTATTTCCAGTGCAAAGCTCCTGGCACAAAGAACAATGCTCAATCTCACGGTTCTCCACAGCCCTCTGTGTAACTGTGCCTGTAACATTAAAGACCTGTGTCAATGAGCTTTTGTTTGCATCCCTATACACCTCTAGAGGTATGCAAAACCCTTTTGAAGCAGGTCAAATGCAAGTCAGAAGGAGGTCAACTGAAGGGTAAATGTATCTGTAAATTCATTTTGAATGTCAAACTGATGCTATCAACACAACCCCAAAGCCTGTTGACATAGACCGTAACACCAACAATTCGGAAATCCCAACAATAAGCCTCCATGTAACACTAATCCTGACCCTTTCTGTAACCCTAACAGTCATAACCCTAACACTAACCATGCCTGTCACCTTAATACTAACCCTCCCAGTAACCCTTCTTGTAAACTTAACACTAACCCTCCATGTGACCCCATCACTAACCTTCCCTGTAACCCTTACTCTAACCCTTTCAGTAAACCAACAAAAACCCTCCCTGTAACCCTAACCTTGATCCTCTCTCTAACCCTAAACTCACTCTTCCTGAAACCCTAACACTAACCCTACCTGTAACCCTAACACTGGCCCTCCCTGTAACCCTAACAGTCACTCTTCCTGTAACTCTAACTCTCCCGGTAACCCTAACAGTCACTCTACTTGTAAACATAACACTAACCCTCCATTTAACCCCATCATTAACCCTCCCTGTAACCCTAACCCCTAACACTGACCCTTTTTCTAACCCTAAACTCACTCTTCCTGTAACTCTAACACTAGCCCTCCCTATAACCCCAGCATTAACCCTCCCTGTAACCCTAACACTAACCCTTTCTGTTATGCTTACTCTTACCCTTCCGGTAACCCTAACAGTCACTCTTCCTGTAACCCTAGCACTATCCTTCCCTGTCACGTTGTTGGGCTACCAGAAGTAAGTAGAGTGAGTAATAAATAAGCTTCAATTTGCACCTTAGAGCTTACACAGAACTGCCCAATATGACAGTGCTCTGTACCTGAGCAGTCAATCACCAAGTTCCAGTACTGTTATACAAGAGGAAAAGGACCGAGTCACATGCTCCCATACCCGGATGTACTAGGTATTCCCATTTAGTCCTGGCAGCTGAAGTTAGTGGCAGGGGAGCAAAGAAAAGATGTGTATATGTTGCTGGTAAGGGGCACCAAAGCAAACTTATTGCTTTGACCTGCATGGGCAAAGCATAAAACTGCTTTAAAGCAGGCCAGCACTGAGAAAAATATGTATGCTGAAAATGCTTGTTCCCTGACTGCCTCTGCTTTCTGTAATTTATAAGTTATTGATGTCACTAAAGTCCAAATTCTTCATGTGCGTATTCCTTTTGGGACAGTGACTTAGAAAGTATGGCAGCTTCTGGATCAGCATGATAGCCAGTCAACTAGCAAGGCGAAGCATTCAATGGAAGCCAACATCTTGCTCTGAGTACAGGAATTTAAACATGTTCACGCTGGAAGTGAGGAGATTAAGGGGGGACATGATTTTGATGTACAAGATGTTCAATGGTGATGGCAACATCAGCAAATAAACTTTTTACTGTAAACTCCATAACAAGGACTAGAGGCCACCACCTAAAACTGGTGGAGAAAAGATTTAACTGCAAGGGGCGTGGGGGCTTCTTCACAGTTAGAGCGGTTAGGGTCTGGAACTCGCTGCCTCAAGCAGTGGTATCAGCTGAGACTGTTGAATTATTAAAAAAGTATTTGGACAACTTCCTCAGAGACAGCAACATACAGGGGCACAGGTACCCTTAAAAACAAGATCACACAGGGTCTCGTATACACGCATGCACATGCAGAATCACATACATACACGCAATGGGTTGAACTTGATGGACCTGTATCTTTATTCAACCTCAAATACTATGCCATTTTTTTAGCAGTATGCCGCCTGTACCTCAGTCTAAACTGAACCATCGCACCTTCCTGGTGGATTTTTTAAAGTTTGGCACCCGTTTGTTGGGTTTAGATGGGCAGATGGTTGAAGAGAGCACAAGAGGCGTTTTATGTAACAAACAAAACAAAATTTAACCTGAAATCGGGAATTCTCCCAATTACAGAATACAAATTATTAGCAAGACAACTGCATTCCAAAGATGTTTAAAGGTTCTAAAAAATAAAATATAAAGCAGCAGCTGGTCCCGGGGTTCGCAGGTGTACACCACTTACACTTCTAAATGGAAACGGGATTTATGGCTGGCATGAGGTTAGACAGGAGATAAGGATGTATGACTTTCACAAGGCATGCTGGGAATTCACTGTAATGGAAAAAGTTCACATCAGACTCTGCAGTAACTGGTATCTGTTGTATCATCAAATGAAAGTAGTTTACTTCTCAAAGAAAAGAAAAAAAGGATTTATCACATGATGTAAAAAGGCTTATTAATGAGTAAGGATCTTTTTTTTTTTTTCAAAATTCTTTATTTAACAAAACAAAATCACCAATGACCAAGCATGATCATCAAAGACTCCATCCAGAGGCTAAAGTAATCAATAATCGTATTACATTTCCATTAGTGTACAGACATCAGGAAACGAAGATAAAACGTAAATCATCCTGCGCCCCCAAAAAAGAGTAGGGATCTTTTTACAGTATTTTTTTTTGTGATAAATTAGGGAATCGTATCACTGTCTATTAATCTATAAAAAATAGTTTTTATGTATAGTTTGTGATTATATTTGGGAAATATTTTGGTCCATTATGTATTCGGCTTTACTTTCCTTCCTGCTGGGTACTGTGCACGGTGACTGTGCTGCTCCTCTCTCTGTGCACGTCTATGGGTCTGGTCTGACCTGTTTAAAAATAAGATTAATAAATCCAATTGAACTTTCAATTTAAATTGACTCAATACATTGCAGGCACAGGAAGACAGGAAGTGTGAAAGGTGTTACAGTTTCCTTTGGAAAGCAGCCACAGCCTGGGAGGAAGAGCCTGTCTTCTGCCAGCATGCTGTACATGGGCTTTTTGCTCATGTTATCACTGTGATTGGCTGGTCAGGAGGTCATCCTACTGGTCCCCAATCATAAACAGTGAGCAAGGAGATGTTGGTGGGAGCGGGGTCATGGTGCTGGGGGTGCCAACGCAGTACTGCAATGCCAGCTGTATACATATATGTGGCAGCTCAGCATTATAGCCCACCACTCTGCTGCGTACAGCCGATGGGAAGGGGTTAAAGCCCAACTCCAGACAAAGCTATTTTTGGTTTATTTTAAATACAGATATTAAACCTGTGATGTTTTTATTGCTTCAGGTGCTCTCTGTAAGCCCTCCTGAAATATGGACAGCTGGAGCTGCACTTCTGACTCTCCGCTGTATCGGAATGGGGTCTATGGTAGACATCAGTTGCAGTGTTATGCCTACTTCCCCCTTGCTCTACTGGACCACTTATATGGCGTAGTGATGGTGCTGCGACTATTTTTTTTGAATACCACTGCAGTGGGAGGCACAATACCAGAACTGGTGTCAATCATTGACACTGTTCAGATCTAGCGGGCAGCCTGAAGTGCATCTCCAGCTGTTCTTATCAATAGGGATGGGCAGAGTGTTCGATTCGAACATGAGTTTTAATCAAACATCGGCAGTTCGAGCACTCGCCGAACGCCGAACTTAATGGAATGTTCGCGGTTTGTTCTACCGCGGACATTCCATAATACAAAATGCCCACTGAAGCTCTGATTTGTTAAAGTCTTGCACCTGACCACAGGTCAGGTGCAAGACTTTGCCCAATCAGTGCTCAGCGGAGGAGGGGCCTGAAGGAGAAATGTTTACTATCAGGTCCCCCCATGCTGATTGACAGCAGGCAGTGGGTGGGTGCAATAGCCAGCTTGCTATTGGCTATTGCATTTTACAATATCCAATAACAGGCTGGATTTGGCTCCCAGCCTGCAATGAAGAGGAGGCAGGGGGGCGGGGCAGAGGTGCCGCGGCCGGACGGGGGAAAGGAGAAGCCGACGGACCAGGGGAAGACAGCAGCAGAGGTACAGGGGCAGCGGAGCAATGCAGCGGTCAGTGTCCCCGCTGCCTCCGCCAACACAGGCGGGGAGAACAGCGGGGATTTGAAGGGACACAGGCCGCTGCAGCCACATGTACCGGCAGCTGAATGGGGGGCGAAAATTCGACCCCCATACACTTGCATTGAGTTTGAGTTTGTGCTCGAACATTTCGGCGGTTCGAATGTTCGAATATGAACCAAGCAAGGGGGTGTTCGGCTCATCCCTACTTATCAACAGCTCTCAGCGGGGCTTACAGTGCCTGGAGTGATAAA